AGGTCCCTTCCCTGCAATCGTCAAGCTCGAGCATCTCTTTCTCTGATCATAAATTAGCGATGCTCGCACTCGCTCCCTCTCAAAGCTGTTTCTCTCTTCCCCCTCTCCAGGTTTTCCACATCCTACAGAAATGGAAGATCCAGGCTGGTTATTTTAAAGGATGGCCATCAATCAGGAACACCGAGCCCGGCTCTTCTCCTCCTCCTCCTCCTGCTTGGGGCCCACCACATATCACCATCGGTGCCGCTGCACCAAGCTCTTCTTCAAGGATCCATCCCCCTTAAACCAGTGTCAGGTTGGACACAGGGGCTTGGAGCAAGCTGCTCCAGTGGAAAGTATCCCTGCCCGTGGCAGGGGTTGGAGCTGGAGGAGCTTTAGGGTCCCTTGCAACCATCCCATGAAGCCCTGAGCTGGGGAATGAATCCCAGCAGGACACTGGTCCTTGTCCAAGCAGCCCTGGAAAAGCCTGGCTCACAGCATGGAAGAGCCAAACTCGGTGGCATTTTCCTGCATCCCATCATCTCCCCCTGGTCAGACAGTTTGGCCCATTCAGAGGATGGGAGACGGGGCAGGAACAGGGCCACCTTGGAAATGATGCTGGAACCATTCCCTCTGCATCAACAGGCCCAGACTGCTCAGGGGAGAGCAGCATCAGGGGGGAACCCCCCTATTTTGGGGATACCCCAAGCAGCTTTGACCAGGGACATCGCTCACACACCATGGGCTTGAGCATCCTCCAGACCAGCCCCATCTCTTTGGGAAAGGTGTTTCCATTCCAGCCCCTGCATCCCTGGCTCCATCCCCCCCTGCAGCCCCCACTGTGCTCCGGGTGAAGCTGGGGTTGGGGTGGGAAGAACAGGAACCTTCCCCATGCATCAGGGCTCCTGTTGACAAGCCCTAACGCAGCACTGCTATGAATAGCTGCATCCCGGTCGCATCTCCCACCCCGGAGCAGCTCGTGGGGAGGAATCCCGTTTGCTCCGGAGCATGGAGGAGGAAAGCCGGGAAAGCCCCGGGGTGCTGCCTGCGGAGCCCCAGAGCGTGCTGCAGGGATGGGGGCTGCTTTTCCATAGGGTATTTTTAAACATCACCCTTCACAGCTCAGGGCGGAGGGGAAGGAAACGTCTTCTCCTTTCTCTTCCTTCTGCTCTGTTTTTCTTCCTCTTTGGTTTTTCCTCCCAATGGAAAATGAGAGGAGCCCAAGCAGGTCCCGTCCCCCCCTCCCCATCCCATTTCCATTGTTGAGCTTCCCTGGAGGGGCCCAGGCCGCTGTCTGCACCCCAGTGATCATTCATGAGCAGCACTTTCATCTCCAGAGCCCTTGCAGCTCCCATCTAATGAATCCCAGCACTGGGATCCTTCAGGAAAAGGGAGGGCAGCTCTAAGCTGTGACTGACTCCATTGGCGTTAGGGATGTCCAACCCCATGGCACTGATTGTGGCTGCTCCAGATGTGCATATACAGGCAGCAAAGCGAGTTTCTGGTCCCGGGATGGGGACAGGGAGAGGGACATGGACCTGGAGCTCCAGCCCTGAGCCATCTCCCACCCAGCACAACTCGGAGCCAGCAGCAGGGAAGTGCTATAAATAAAGCTGTTACCAGCCATGCCTCACCCGCTCAGGGAGCCAGGCCATGGAGCTCCCTCCCCAGCAGCTTTAAGGGTGATCTCTAGCCCAGAGGAGGCCAAGAGCTCCTCAGCATCCACAGCTCAGTGGTCTCTTCCCATCCTGCACTGATTGCACACTCCGCCAATAGACCCACTGGTTACCTGCCCTGGTTACAGCGGGGGGACAGGGCTGATGGATGCGGCCACTGAGGCTTCTTCCCAGCTTGCCTGGGTCCCAGAAGGACCAAGAGCCTCCATCCTCCAGTGCCTGTTTGAGGTCCTTAACCCCGGCCATCACCGCTCTGCTCCTGTCCTGGTCCCCACAACCCTAAGGAAGATGCTAAAGGGATGGTTCTGTGGGCAGGGATGTGGTCCTGCCTGGCACAGGCTGCTCCTGGTTGAGCTGGTGGGAGAGCAAGGAGGAAATCTGGGTGAGGAGGTGGGAGCAGGGAGAGGGATGAGCACAGTGATGCTCATTTCCCATGGGGATTAAAGGCCTGCAGGAGGAAGCTCAAGCAGAAGGGGATGGAGGCAGCTCTCAGGCAGGCAGAGGCCCTGCAATGATGCCACCCATTGTCCCACCTCCTAAATCAACCCAAGGGGGGGAACGTGCTCATTCCAAGCTCTCCATGAGACACAGGAGGGCAAAGGCTTTCCCAGCCCTTAGTGCTGCGTGGCTGGGGCTGGGAGGAGAGAATGGATGGGGAGAGCAGGAGGGAGGATGGGGGGAGCCCATATGGAGATGCTTCTCCCAGGGAGCAGCAAGATGCTGAGCTGGCGCGGGAGCAGGAGCTCAGTGAGGCAGACGGGTGCTGCTGGAGCCAGGCAATCAATGTGTGAAACCCAGGGGAAGGTGACCTTGAGCAGCAGAGCAGAGCGGCAGCTATGGCACACGGGGATGGAGGGGAAGGAGAGGGGCAGGAGGGATGGGAGCCCTGCATGGAGCCTGCTGAGTGCTGTGAGGGCAGGGGGAAGACGTCGGTGCTTGGGGTTACTCTGCTCCTCCCTGTCCATCCCTAAAGCAGGAGCCTGTCTCACACATCCCCACCAACCAGGACCGCTCTTTATGCCCCATCTCAACCATGGGGCTGCCATTCCCATCTGAGACTCACAGCTCCTGCAGTTACTCAACAAACGCCCTGGAGATCAGAGCAAGGCTTTGCCTTTGCACAGCTCCAGCTCTTGGCTTCTAACATGGTTCCAGCACTAATACTGCCCCCGGGTGCTCTGCTCCATCCCATGCTCCTGCCTGGCCCCGTGTGCCACCACGGGTCCTCTGGCCCCGATGCTGGGATGTTTGTGAGCAGGGATGTGCAGCCCCATATGTGCATCCATGCATGGGGCAGGCTGTGCAACCCTATGGAGCCTCCTCCATGGGAATGGCTCCAGATGCTGGCAGGTCCCCAAAGGTGACCCTGCCTCTGCAGAACCTTCCAAAGGATGGAGAGGAGCCAGGGCTCCCAGGTACCCACAGCCAAAGGGACACAGGGCAGCAAGGTCTCGGCCATGCCACCAAGCCAGGCTGCACCGGGGCAGGGCTGTCCTTCTGGCTACAGAGCCACCGCATCCTCCCTGCTCCAGGGCAGGATCCATTCAACCCCTCTGAGTGCTTGGGGCCGGTCCAACCTCACAGAGGGGACAGGGCATTGCAGTAGGGTGGGAAAGGGCCACGGGGATAGTGGCAGAAGAGGGGTGCTGCTGTTGCCTGCATCACACTGCAAGGACAGACACAGGTTTCTTTCCCTCACCAAGGACATGAGATCCAAGGTAATACCTGCATGAACAGAATGGGGGCTGAGCCCCAGTAACCCCCATTGCTCTGAGCCAAGTCTGGTCTCTGCAAAGCCAGCAGCCCCATACCCCCAATGCCACCCCTCCACCTACCTTGCTGCGATGGAGCAACCCCTTCTCCCCTCTGCAGCTCCTTTTAATCCTTCCTCTTCCAACACGGAGCACCTGGGCTATTCCCCAGCTGCATGGACCTGCCCCAAACCACCCTAGGAGGGAGATGGATCAAGAGCAGGGAGTGAGTTTGCAATCCCAAGCTGAGGTCGGGCATTCCCAAACACTCTGCCTTGCCATCTAGTGGGATGAATGCGAAGGACCAGGGTTTGCCGGTGGGAAAAGCCCAATTCCATCCAGCTGGAGCCTGGCTTGCGGCAATCCTTCATCCCACCGGAGCAGATGAGCTCCCTGGGGGTAAAGGGTAGTGCAAAGGTGCCAGGAGGATGGATGGGGAAAGGAGGAAGGATATGGGAATAGAGAGGAGGGAGAGACAGAGCTGTTTCAAGGATGACAACAGCAGCAATAAATCCAGGTGGTTTAACCTGAAAGGCTGGAATAGCTCCAGATCCCCATTTACAGAGGCTTTTGGATCAACATCACCCATGTCTGAGCTGGGTTTTGCATGGCAAAGAGAGGCGAGGGGATGCTGGCGGTGCACACACACACACACACAGGGATGAGCACCCTGCAGCCCGGGGAGGAGAAGCTGCATCTTCTTGTGAGGCTTCTTCCAGCCGCCTCAGTTTGCAGCCCCGGGCCTGGAGGATGTGGGCTGAGCGCGGTGGCTGCAGTTGAGGATGCTGGATTCTCCGGGGATGTGTCATCCCTCGCTGCCTGCTTGCGACAGGGGTGTAAAAATACAGAGGATGAATGCATTACGGTTAAAATATCTCACCGCTGGGCAGCTCTTTGCGGGTGCTGGAAGCTGGGATGGGATGAGATGTTCTAACTCATTCCAAGGGATCCTTCCCTGCTGGATATGGCTCGCAGGCCCCGGTGTTGCTCCGGGGTTTCTCTCCTCCCAGACCTAAGGATCTGAATGCAGAGGCTCACACTGGACATCTCCACTGAGTGCCAGGTCCCTCCCATGAGTGCATGTCCATGGGATGCAGCAGGTCTGGGGTGATGGAGGACTTGAGCTGCCCCGTGCTCAGGTTTCCTATCGCATCCTCTTTTGGGACACATGGGGACGGCCCAGCAGTGGCCACAGCTCACATCTGGGTGTCCAATGCTCCTCCAGAGCCACACGCACCCCTGATGGGCCCGGGGACCGCTGAGGGGACAGCACAGGTCAAACTTGATGTGGCCAAAGCATCCCCTCTGGAGCGATGCAGATCCTAATCCCTGTACAGGAAACCCTGACAGCAGACACAGAGGGATCTTCCCAAGGCCCCAAGAGGAAGCAGGACACAGGGAAGCCCCATCTTTGCTGGGCTGGATGAGAACTAGACACTGAATGCATTTTTAAAGCCTTTGCTTTATTAGAGCTGCCCATCTCCTGCTCCATTTGCACCAGAGCTGAGTCCACAGAGGCTCAGCTCACAGTGGGGTTAAACGCGTGTGCATTAACCCCAACATGGGGCAGAAGGGTCTGGGTTGGGGATGGGGCCGTGGGGCTCAGGAGAAGCGGCCGGTGGGCAGGCGGGGCAGGCAGAAATAGGCATTGGGGAAGAGGCTGAGGTTGATGGGGTTGCCATCGAGGCGGATGTCCTCCAGCGCCCTGCGGATCTGGCTGTGGTCCTGGCTGTCACAGAACGTGTCCTCGTGCATCGTCTGGATGTTGTTGTTCTGGCCAGGGAGGCAAAGGGCAAAGTCAGGTTCAAAGGGATGGGAGGGGAGGAGGATGGGGATGAGGTGATGGGCTTTGCTAGACAGGGTCCCTGGCTCATCTCACCTGGAGGTGCAGGGAGCGCAGGCTCTGGGGCAGGGGTGCTGGGATATAGTCCAGCTGGTTATCAGATAGATGGAGAAACTGCAGCTGCTTCAGGTCCTGTGGGAAGAGCGGAGAGATGAAACCATGCTCCAGCCCTCAGCACCACCCCTGCCACCCCTTGGCATGGCCAAACCCATGGATTCATCCCCCCATGCACCCTGAAGGCTTCGTGCCGGAGGCCGGCGCTGGGGATCCTGTTGAGCCGAGCATCCAAGCGGATGATGCTGGGGGGCAGCTCGGGCAGTGCTGTCAGCTGGTTCTCGGGCAGGAGGAGCTCCTGCAGGCTGGAAAGCTGATGGAAAGCATCCGCATCCGCCCAGGAGATGAAGTTGCTGCTCAGGTCTATTCGCTTCAGGTTCTCTGCTGGGACAGGAGGGAGGGGATGAAGAGGGAGCCATGCGGAAGCACTCACTCCCCCTTCCCTCACCTGGACGTACTGAGCCCCGTGAAGTCGCTGGCCCGGATTGCGCCGATGCGGTTGAAGCGGGCATAGAGGTAGGTGGTGTCTGGGGGCAGCAATGGGATGTGCTCCAGGTCGGCATCGTCACAGTAGACAGAGGTGCCAATGCACAGGCAGAGAAGGCAGCTGGGCAGGCCTGGGGGTGCGGGGGCAGCTCTTGGCAAGGCACAGCACCCCCAGAGCACCCCGACATGCAGGGAGATGGGAGGATGTGCCCAGGTTGTGGGGACCCCAAGTCTTCAGCCCTAGCACCTCCCCAAGGGGCTGACATTCCCAGCCAAGGATGCTGCTAAGGAATGATGAAGCTGCTCAGAGCCAGATGCCTCCCATGGGAGAGCGGGAGAGGTGAGGATGCCAACGCAGCAGCGTGGTACCCAGGGCTCCCTCAGCGCCCTGAGTTTTGGTACAGAAGGAAACAAACACTTCTGCATCCATCAGAGCACGTGTCTGGGCTGGGTGAGGGTCCCAGCAGGGTGGCAGGAGGGGTGAAGCCGTGTTTCCCCCCTCCCTAGGCTCCCCCTCCTCTTCCCAGCCCCCATGAGATGCAGCATCCATTAGTGGAGGAGTTCAAAGCAGCAAGGCAACAATTTCCCTTTGCCTCCCACTTAATTTGTCCCAGTCCAGAGTGACGGAGAATGAATGAAGATATTTATCCCTCGCTACAGGATTTTAATTGTCACTAATGTAATTGCTACTCTGTCCGACTGTTGCAATGCCTCTGCTCATTAAAGTGTTGCTGCTGGAGCTCTTGTTTCCCAGAAATGGCTCACTGCAGCTTTCCTGATAGCATTTACCCCATCACCTCACTGCCTGGGCAGAGCAAACCATAGAATCCCAGCCTGGTTTGGGTTGAAGGGAGCTTAAAGCTCCTCCAGCTCCAACCCCTGCCACAGACAGGGACCCCTTCCACTGGAGCAGCTTGCTCCAAGCCCCTGTGTCCAACCTGGCCTTGAGCACTGCCAGGGATGGGGCAGCCACAGCTTCTCTGGGCAAATCACTGCTGCTGTCTGATGGGGGCAAAAGGATTTGCTCCCTTTCCTCCAGAGCACCCAGGGGCATGTGGCTGCATCCCATTGGAACCAGACCCCACCTTTGTGCTGCACCCAGGGCTCCACACTCACCCTGCGTAGGGATGGGTGCTGGCGGGCTCGGAGGCTGTGGCTTCATGGGCTCAGCCGCAGCACCCAGGGTTGGGAGAGCCACGGGGTTCTTGGGGCGAGGAGCCAGGGTGCCAACCTCGACCTGCAAACACAGCAAGAGAGGTGGAAAACCCACCAGGGCTCGTAGGGCTGTGCAAGAAGCTGGTTCTGCATCCCTCGGACAAGCCCCTTCCTTGGGATGCACCCAGGGAAGAGCTGCCCCGTGTCCCCCTCACCTTCGGAGCAAAGTCACCGTAGTCGTAGAGCTCCTCATAGTTGCTCAGGTCAATGATGTCTCCGTAGTTGTCCAACGTCAGGTCATAGTTGTCCAGGTCGTAGAGCTCAGGATCCTCATTCAGCTTCTCTGCCTTCCTCCTCTCCTCCCTGGCTGGCACAGCCCAAGCTGCCCCCAGCCACAGGCTGGCGATGCACAGCAAGGCCAGCATCCGCATCCTGCATCCAGCCGCAGCGGTGGGACCGCGGTCCTGGGGGGCTCCAGCAGCACCCATCAGGATGGGGCCGGGTGCTCTGAAACGGGAGCAAAGAGGGATGGGGAGGCAGAACCGGCCCCGCACAGGGGCTGCAGTGGGGGACAAACGGCCTCTGCCCCGGGAACGTCACCAGCCCTTTTCTTTTCAGCCCATTTCACGCCTGGCTGGGCAGCCACGAAGGAGAGGCCCCGCGCTTCCCGGCTTTCCCAGCCTCCAGCAGCTGGGGAAGGGGTCCAGAGGTGATGCAGGGATCGGGCTCCTGCTCTGGACCCTCAATGGGTGAGGCTGGGAGCTGGGCAAGCAGAAGCGAGCCCAGGAATCCTGGCTCTCTGCTGTGCTCCCTCCCCATGGGCAATGGGGACACAGCCCTGGGCAGAGGCCTCAGATCCAGCTTCATCCCTACCACAACCAGCCCAGGTCCCACCAAGGCAGCACTTTTCCACTCACCAGGGTAAGATGGGGATGACCCCATTGCTCCCTGTGTGGGGGCAGTGGGACTGATGGATGCCCCCCATGTGTGGTACCCATGGTGAGGAACAGGCTGCCCAAAGAAGTGGTAAATGCCCCATCCCTGGCAGTGCCCAAGGCCAGGTTGGACAAAGCCTTGAGTGACATGGCCTGGCGTGAAGCATCCCTGCCCATGGCAGGGGATTGGAACAGGATGATCTTAAGGTCCTTTCCAGCCCAAACATTCCATGGTAAGGCTCAACCCGAGAGCGGCTTGCTCCCCTGGAGGTGATGAGGAGGTGATGTCATTGCCAGGGATGCGTCCTGTGGGGCTGGGATGTGGGGCAGGGGGTGCATGGCAGCCCCATGGGCTGCTCACGGTGCTGGGCAGCCTGGTGCACACACACAGAGCCACCCACCACTGTGAAAATGTTCTTCTCTCCATCAGGCACATTGAAGCCCACGCGCTCACCCACCCATAGAGACGCAGCACCCATCTGCTGGTGCTCGCTGGGCAGACGGGGACACCCCACAGCCCCCCACCAGCGTGGGTTTTGGCCATGGACCCACAGTCCCCTTCGCCCCCAGCATCCCCCCCTTGCTCGGCATGGGGCAGAGCAAGGGGCCACCACTAATCTTCATTAAGGCCCTCATTAGGCGGCTGGGCAGGCGCAGTGATGGAGGAGATGTGGCAGTTACAGCTGAGCTCTGCCTGCTCCTTGGAGGGGTGCAGGTCCAGGGTCTGCTGCCAAGTCCCCCTTCACTGGGGGCTTTGGTCCAGCATGGCTGGAGGGGACATGGGATGGGGGGAGATTGGGGAGCTCCTGCCCAGCAGCTCAGTACAGGGGAAACTGCAGCACAGGGGGCCCTGGGGCAGTGGTTTTACTGCCCTATAGAAGCAGCTAGTTCCCATCCTTGCCCCACTCCTTGTCCCCAGAGGCAGCAGTGAATGCCTGCACCCATGGCATCATCAGTGCAAGCCCTGCTCTGGCACCCACAAGCAGGTTGGGGGTCAGGAGTTGTTTGGGGGGGTGTGATTTGAGCAGTTACTCATCCTGCTCCAAACTGCCTCTCGCTATATCCAGCCCACATCCCCCTTTCCAGCATTGGGAAGATCAGCACCCACCTTTGGTGCCCATCCCAGCAGCCCCACAGCCCCCAGCCTTCCCCATCACACACACAGCAAAGGGAGAGCTTCCCAAGACCCCCTCCCATAGCAGCACAGTGATTGTGCAGAGAGAAGGATTGAACCCCCCTTTGCATCGCTCAGCTCCCCACGGACACGGGGCTGCCTTACCGGGGGGGCAGGCAGTGAATGCACACCCGGGAGGGCACAAACAGGGAGGTTTTCTCCTCCAGCACCAGCACACAAGGGCTGCTCGCTGCCTGCTCCGCGCATCCCCACATCCACACATCCCCTCCTGCTCCCGTGAGCAGCCCCACGCTGCAGCCCCTGCGTTCGCACCCAGCCCACGGCCACCCTCCCTCTCCGCTCGTGATTCATGCTCAGCAGCGAGAGGAGAGCTCCGGAGCTGCGGCGATGGGCAGGAGGAGAAGGCGCTGCCTACATCCATTCTGCTCGTGTGAAAGCGAGCCCTGGCCATGGATGCTGCGGGGGGGAGAGGGGCCTCCTGCCCCTCTGCGTGCCCTGGGGCTCCTCCGTGCTGCTTCCCCAGGGCACACTCACCTCGGGGGTAGTGGTCCAGCCTCCCTGGGTGCATGAAGGTGATGGGGGGAATGGATCAGCCCAAGTTCATTTACCCCACACAGACACCAGCTGCCTTGCAGGGACAGCAATGCCCATTGAGCTGCAGGCACAGCCCACGGAGCTGCAGCTGGGGTCAGTCAGGCTCATTGCCATTAGCAGAGGTGCTCATTAAGACAGGCACAAGCTCCACAAGGTGCCAACAAGCGGCCTCACTGCTGCTTGTGAGTCCAACGCAGCATCACCTCAAGCAAGGGCACCCCCCCGAGCCCTCCCACTGCAGGGACTCCCAGTGCCTCCCAAGCTCCCACTGTTGGGAAGGTTGTGATAACAGAGGGAATGTGGTCCTGAGGGAAGCAGCAGGTCCCGCAGGGAGGAGGATGAGGATGGATCAGAGGGAGGCAGGCCCGAATGCGGCGCTGGGTCCCTTGTGAATCATTTTATTTCCACTGCTGCAGAGAGTAGGAGTGAAAATACCATTAAGTTGAAATCAGTCGAGAACTACATATGTCTCTAGCTATATCTGTACAGTCTACCAGTATATATACACACTATATATAAATATATACATAGGGTCTCCGGGTTTAAGGTTGAAACCTGTCGAACCCAACAAAGCCCATGGGAGGAAGATTCGGAAAAGGATTTGCTCATGCAAAAATAAGGCTGAATTAGCACAGGGGGTGAATAAACCTTCCATGGTTCAGGGCTCAGAGCCAGTGCATCCCCAGGCTGCAGGGAGCATCCCCATCCCAGCCCCAAGGAGCAGGACACGGTGCCCGTCCGTGCCTGCCTTGGAGAAGGGTGGCTGAACGCAATGGAGGTACCAAGTTGGTGTCTTTGGTTTGTTGCTTTAATACTTGTTTCAATTGGATTCTTTTTTCTTTCCCCTCTAATGCTTGGCCTTAAATCTAAATCCTGAGAATCAGGAAGAAAAAAGAGAGACCAACCACCCCCTAAACCCGGACACCCTATATATGCAGTACAGCTATCGAAGAGGGAAGCGATACATGTGAAACAGGGAGGATAAAACACAGCTTTTCCCAAAGAGTCTTCCTTCCTTTTTCTTTTTCTTTTTCTTTCCTTTGTTTTCTGTTTTTTCTAACCAAAATAAAGAGAGGCAAAACCATCCACGTGTGTGGTTCAAGAAAGCAACTGAGAGTAAAGCTTCCAGGAGCTGGGAGTCAAGGAAGGAACAGGGGGAGAAGTGGAGCCCTTGCAGGTCAACCCAGCCCCAGGCTTACACCAGCATCAGCCCTTGGGTACCTAAACATGAGCGTCCTGCTGGCATCAGTGCAGAGCTGCTGGCTCTGCCCTGCCTGGGGGTCCCATGCCCAGGGGGATCCCGCAGGCACTGGGTCCTGTGCAGGGTTTAGCTGGAAGCCGATGCACCGAGTCCTGCACCTCTGCAGGGAGGATGCAGGATGCTGGGATGGGGATGCAGCACCATGGGATGATGCTGCTGGGATGGAAGCTGGGGAAGGGGCTGCTCTGCAAAGGAGGGGTTGTGATGTGCTGCTGCAGGGAAGGTGCAACCCACCCAGGGCGCAGCAGAGCCCAGCTCCAGCGCAGGGGCCAGGCACCCTCCCTGCTCCCTCCTGCCAAAGCCACACCACTGGGAGGGAATAACCCCCAGTGCCAAAAGCAAACCCTCCCCATCGTGTCCCTTGCTTGGGGCCCTGGGACATGGCCATGAGGCGTCATTGCCAGACCAGCCACCCTCTGCCTGCACATATCCTGCTCCCCCAGCCACGCACTGGCCTCACCCTGTACCCCTGCACCCTTGGCACACCAGCACAGGGCATCCCTGCTTCACCTCCATCACTCCCAAGGAACACCACAGGCTCTCTGTGTGCATCCCGGAGGGATGGTGCAGGGTCCTGCAGCGAGGTGGCCCCTGGGCTTCCCCATGAGCTCTATCCAAAGATGCTTTTGGCTTGGACCTAATGCAATCTCCTAAAACTCTGCTGGGTGGAAGGGGAGAGACAGAGGCAGCCCCAGGGCTGGCCTGGGTGAGGGCAGAGAAGGCAGAGACCACAAGCAGGGAGCTGGGGTGAGCGTGGCAGCCACCCCAGACTGATGCTGTGACCTGGGGTGGCTGCTTGACACGGTGCCATCCCTCACACTGTGGTCCCCAAGGATGCACAAGCCACGCGTGCACTGCAGTGGGGAAAGAGAGGAAGGGAGGAGGGATGGAGGAGGGATGTGAGCAGGAGAGGGAGGGAAAGAGGGTCCCACGTCTCAGACATGGACGTGGGTTCAGTCTCTGTGCAAAGCCAAGTCCTGGGAGAGCCGTGCTGCCGGGCAGGGCTAGAACACCACGGACTGCAGGAGGCGGAAGCACATCATCAGGTCCAAGGGGATGGGCGGCTTCAGGAGGTTCCCGTCCAGCCGCAGGTACCGGAGCCGGGGCACGCTGTCCAGGTCGGAGGGGGAGAAGTCCTGGATGGACATCAGCGAGGTGGGGCAGATCTGCGTCCCGTTGATTTCTGCAGGGAGGAGAGGAAAAGCGGGGTGCGGGTTAGAGGAAAGGGAAGGCAGAGAGGGATGCTTGAGACCCCCCTCCCTGCCTGCCTGTTGAACCCCAAAACGGGGTTGCTTTGCTACCAAGGGGTGTGGGGTGTCCCAGCCTGTTCCAGAAAACAGCCCAGCTCCAGCAAGAGGAAAATCCTGCTTTTGATCAGAAACGAAGTAGGTCACATTCAGGCACAGCACGGTGACGGATACGGTGTCATTTGAGAGGAAAAAGGCGTCATTTCAAACATGAAACCTGCCGAGCAGCCCCAGGTCCTCAACAAAACATCAAGGAACCATGAGATAACATCAGCAACCAGCTCATTGCTTGCTGCTGGATTTCCTCGTGTTTCTCCTCACCCCAGGGTCTGCAGGGTGGAAAATAAACCCAGCTCCAGGCACTGAAACCTCACAAAAGCTGGATAAAACAGGCAAAGGCAAAGCTGGGACAGGATGTGCACAGCCACGCAGGCTCCTCTCCATGGGCAGCCCCAGCAGGACCAGCAGCAATCATCACCTTCACCCCAAGGTCCCCCTTGGCTCCAGTTTGGTGTTGGTTAAACACAATGCAGATTAACAGCGTTTGGACCACACATCCATCACTGGTTCATTATTCCCTGGGAACAGCGATCTCCTGAGAGAAGGGATGTGGCTTTGGGAGGGATTTTTCCCCCTCTCTGGCATCACATCCCACAGCACTATCAGTGGGTGCCTGCTCAGAGCAGTTTCCTTGCTTATCCCTTCCTGGCTGATGTTCAGCTGGAGCTGTGCTGTGGCTGCGCAACCCCTCTTTGGCAGCAGGATGCTTCGCATCCACACACCATCCCTACACAATAAACACAGTGGCACTGGTGGGGACCAGCATCCTGCCAGCAATGCCCTGAGCTGGTCCTGCAGCCCCCATAGAGCCCTCACAGCCAGAAAGGGCAGAGCCCAGCGGGCTTTTCCTGGTGCACACAGAGGGTTTCTGGCAGGAGCGGCGCATTCCTGCTTCCCCATGGATAACACAGCGGGATGCTGGACCTCGCAGAGCAGGGGCAGCTGGGGTGGCCAGCAATGGGGCTCTGCCTTCTCCTCCATCGTACGAGCTCTGTTTATGTGTTTCACAGGCCAGCACCTCTCGCATGGAACCGTGGTGCTTCGCCTGGAACGGTGTGAAACGGCGCCGGCTGCTTTGCCAAGGCAACCTCCATCCCTGCCTTGTTCTCCCTGTTCCTTCCCCCGTGAGGCTGAGCTCGAGAGCGGAGCTGGGTTATTTCTAACCATCTCGACTGCGTGTTTTGGCATCTGCTCTTAAAATATGTGCACAGAGGCTCCTTTCTCAATATCCCTGTTTCTGAGCCCTGCTGGGGAAGCAACTGTTCAAACGGTGAAGTGGCCCCGAAGAACTGCCCATGACAACGAGCAAGAAAAGCCCTTCAAGAACCAGGGGGGAATTGAGCTCCGCGCCTCAGCTACCACCCCAAACCTCAGCCCTGTGCAAATCCATCCCCATTTGGGCCTCATTCACCTACAAAGCTCATCCCATCACTATGTCCCCCTTTAAAGAGTTCACATCCCACCAGGTGGAAAACACCACCAAGCCCCCATCCTCGATCCCATCTGCTCCCCACAAGGCATCACAACTCACTGTCGATGGAGTTGTTGTTCAGGTAGAGGTGCTCCAGCTTGGGGCTGATGAAAGGGACGTTGGTGAGCTTGTTGTGGGCCAAGTGCAACACCAGCAGGTTGGTGAGGTTGAAGGAGTTCTTGGGGAGCCCCTTGTCAGAGATCTGGTTGTAGTTGAGCCGGATGAATGCCAGGTTGGGGAACTCCTTGAAGTAGTCACTGGGGATGTCCTCGATGTTGTTCCTGTCCAGGAAGAGCTGGTGGATGGCATTGGGAACCCCGGGAGGCATTTTCCTCAGGATGTTGTGGGCAAGGTTGAGTTGCATGAGGTTCTTGAGTCCTTTGAAGGTGTTCTTGTTGAAGACCCCATCGCTTAGTTTGTTGTGGTGCAGATCCAAGAGCACCAGGTTCTCCAGCTTGTTGAAGACCCCAGCAGGGATCTTGGAGATCTGGTTCCTGCTCAGACGCAGCTGCTCCAGGTTGGGCGGCAGGAAAGCAGGCACCTCCTTGAGCTGGTTCTTCTCCATGTAGAGGAAGATGAGGTTTTCCAGCTTCTCCAGCACCCGCCTGTCCACCTTCCGGATGCGATTGTTGTCCAGGTTGACCCATTTCAGCCCCGTGGCATTCCTGAAGGACTCCTCCGGGAGGTCGTCGATGAAGTTGTTCTGGAGGTAGAGGTAATGGATGCGGGGCGGGATGATGGGGACCTTGCGCAGGTTGCGGCTGTCGCAGTACAGGGCAGAGGGGAAGTCCGGGGGGCAGTAGCATTCCCGGGGGCAGTCAGGGAAGATGGAAGGGGGCCCCGGGGGCAGCGGTGGGGGCAGCTCGGTGGGCTCCACGGGCTCCACAAACTCGGGGGGCGGGCGGGTGGGTTTCCGGGGGGGTTTCCTCCGCTGCCCGCTCACCTCCGAGACCAGCACAAGAACGAGTGGGAGAAGCAATCTGAAGGCCACCTTCATGGTCCAGATGTTTCCCTGAGGGAGGCAGCGCAAAGAGATGGGTTAGGAAGCGCCGCATCCGGGTACCGCATCATCACCCATCCCTGCTCTGTTTAGAGTCATAGAATCATAGTTAGGGTTGGAAAGGACCTTAAGATCATCCAGTTCCAACCCCCTGCCATGGGCAGGGACACCTCGCACTAAACCATCTCACCCAAGGCCTCGTCCAACCTGGCCTTGAACACTGCCAGGGATGGAGCATTCACAGCCTCCCTGGGCAACCCATTCCAGTGCCTCACCACCCTCACAGGAAAGAATTTCCTCCTTATATCCAATCTAAACTTCCCCTGATTCAGTTTTAACCCTTTCTCTCCTTCCCCTTGGAATCTCTCTTCAAATCCAAATCAAAGCTGGATTTGAAGACTCTAAAGCCTGAGTCACTGAGATCCCCCCTCTCTGGCTCAGGCTTTTGCCATGGGAGTGTGTGTGTGGGGTTGTTTCATTTGGTTTGGGGTTTCTTTTCACCCCCTCAGGATCACCACCACCACCCTGACTCTCCCCAAAGGATGGAGCTCCCCTTCAGAGACCTTGATGGATTAGGTTTAATTTGCACTTGAGCCAAAGAGAAATCAACGATTCAGTAGCAAATTGGCTGAGCAACAGCATCAGGAGGCCAGCAGCAGTTAGTGGGACAGAGAGATGGATGCTCCTGTGCTGCAGGGATGAGGCTTTAACGCAGGACAGCCCATTTCCAAGGCTGAGCGATAAAAAAGGGCATTTGCAAGATTACACATGGCCAATATGGAAGGTGTTTGGTTATAAAGCTCCCTGTGCTGCCCAGATAACCCACTCATCACCGCTGCAGGGTGCTGGGCTGCTTATCTGCAGAGAGCCCCAGTGGAAGGGGGAGATGTGAAGGGATGAGGTAAGGTCCCTGCTTTCCCCAAGGCTGAGAGTTTCCATCCCTCCCTCTTCTTGGGTCGTTATCAAGCCTATTAAGGCTTGATCCCATTTCCATCCTCCCTGCTGCAGCCTGGCACAGCAGCGATGGCCCTTGCAAGGCTTGCTAGCAGCTGATGCCTGGCAGGATGGAGGGATCCAGCTTATTGCAGACAAGCTCCCCATAAAGCCCCAAGCACAGAAGGTGCTTTGGATGCTCCCACACTTGCAGGGCTGTGGCTTCCTGGGCAGACACCTCGGGGTGCTCGCCAGGCTTCTGTCACCCCAGCAGGAACAGAGCCAAGCTGGATGCACAGCGAGGCAGATGGAGGAGCTCAGCAGAGGCAGGGTGGGAAAGAGAATCAAGTGAGATGAGACAGGGAGGAAGATGAGGAGACGCAGAGGAAGATGGGGAACAGTTGTCCCAGGAGATGTTCCCTGGGGGAACAGCATCTGCTGTGGGAGCCGGTGCTGCTGGGACCGGAGCGTGGGGCAGAAATGGTGCTGGTGATGGAGGGATATCAGGTTTTATCTGCTTTATCAGTGCTCTCACTGTGCCAGCACAGAGCTCAGGGCCAGGGGCACCACGCCATGGGCCCACTCATCCCAGTACACCCCACTGTGAGCAGAAAACAGAGGGCTGAGCCAGGCCCATAGCATTTCCCTTTGGGCAGCAGCAGGGAAATGCCCTCAGCCCTCATCTGAGCAGCAAACAGCACAGCCCAACGCTGCTGGGGCAGCCACAGCAATAACCCCTTTTGCTCACAGCTTCCCATGGTGAGACAGGGTCCCCATCCCACCCAGCAATGCCCTTAGGACCCTTAATGGGCCACTTCCCAGGGCTGGGCCGGCCCGGCTCCCTTTGAAGCCATCCCATTGCATTCCTGGGGCTCCAAGTAATTAACTTGCTCCAAGCAAAGATCCTGTTCTCGCCCCCCCACTTCCAGCCCCGGGCCGTTACTTTCCTTTTTGTCTCGCCCGCTCCCATCTGGCTCTGTTTAACCCTACGAGCCTCACGCCTGCTGTTTTCAATCAGAGCTCTGGCATCTCGCAGGGGGAAGGGAGGAACAAGGGGAGAGCAGCGGGGCCCGATCGCTGCCAGACCTCCCCATAGGGATGTACGTGCGGCTCCTGTGCTGCGAGCGCCCCGGGGCTGCAGGGAACGGGCGGGTCCGGACCGGGAGCTCCCGTACGTGCGGTCCCCCCGCTGGCCCCGCAGCATCCCGCTCCTTCCCCCCTTATCCCAGACCTTTCTATGGGATTCTTGCCTCTGCTCCAAAGCTCGGCCCTGGGTTTGAACACCCGCAGCGGGCTGAGGTCTGCGTTTGGCCCGTTGCAGACGGGAGGAGGCAGATGGGATGGGATATTCCAGCCAGGACATGCTGCAATCCAGGCGCTTGGCTCCCTCCACTTGCAGGGCAGTGCTCAGCTCGGGCCACCCCATGCAGTAACACCTGGAGGGCAGAGCTGTCACCCCGCTGGTTACCTCAAGCCCTTCCAGGAGTGAACTGGTCCCACAGCAGCCTGCACCATCCCCTCCACATGCTGCAGATGCTCAGCATACAGCAGAGGCTCAGTGAGCCAGGAGAGAGGCAGCATCGTGTGGCATTTGCCAGCACACAAGGACAGTGTCAGGAGGCAGATGCAGCGCCTTCTGTTCACTGTGAAACCTCCATCCCCATGGGGACAGACACATCCCTGTGCCCATGGCCACGACTTTCTCCCCTCTCCTTGCCTATGGGAGCCCTGCCTCCCATGCTCCAGCCTGCTCGGGAAAGCGGGACCCACTTCCAAGCAAACTGCAGGAAAGCAGCTCACAGCCAGCGGTCCCCACAAGCACAAAACAGGGATAACAACAAGCCTGAGGCCCAAACAAGCTTTACAGTTGTCTCCAGCACACTGGAAGGTTCAAAGCTGGACCCGACGCAGTCAGCAGCCTGTTCTCCATCCAGTTCCATGCAGTTGAATTTACTGGCATGAACGCAAGAAGCCAGATTCCCAAACCCCACACCCTGATCCTGCAGGAATGCCGGCTCTGCAAAGGTCTCCCCTCGACCTTTCCCACCACTCCCTGATGGACAGGGCAGCTCAGATCCCAAGTGCCCACAAGGAATCCGTGAAACTGGAATAGAGTTAAACCATGAAGCAATGAACGCGGTCAGGAAACCAGCTGCCGGGTGTGGAGAAAAGGCTGGATTCATGGATAAAAATGGTTCTGACACCTCCTGAGCTGCGGGCTGGCTCGGCTGCAGGACCAAGGCACCCAACAGATGCCACTCCAGGTTTTTACCCAGGAAGAGGCAGCTGCTCCCTCATTCATCCCATTACAACTGACAAAACCCCAGCAGAACAGCTGGAAATTCCAGCCCCAAATGCCGCTGGTATTTGCTTCCTGAATAGTTCATTGTCATTGCATCTCCCTGACCCACAGCACACGCTGTCAGCCCCACAACCCGGCCAAGGGCAGGCAAAACTCACCCCCCACCCCAGGGCAAGAGCGAGCTGTGTAAAGGTTACAGGGGGGATTTGTCACAGGCAGAATTCCCAATGCTCTCCCTTGGGTGCCTCCTGCCTTCCCGCATCCTCTTGCAGCAGTTGGATGTGCAGGGAGCACCCATGTACCCAGCCCCACTGCTGCTGAGGGAGGGATAAAGGCAGCTATGGGAGAAGGGAAAGCCTTGATGGCTGGACAAGGGACTCTCTCCATCATGCTGCCCATACCCCTGCTAGCTCCTTTGAAAGGTTTCCCATCCAATTCCCATCATCCCTGAAGCCCCCCCAAGCTGGAAAAATGCCCTTGCCCTGCCTGGGAACCTGCACGATGGGGCAGGACAAGGAGGACAAGCTAGAGATAACCAAGAGGAACCCGCAAAGCTCCCTCCCTGGCTTCCAACCACCCCAACAGCCGGCTCCCATCAGTGCGAGAGCCTGTAACCGAAACAGGGATCCCGTGGCGCTGGAGAGCTGGGAATGGTGGAAAAGGGTAACTCCAGTGTGAGGCTGTCCTCGGAGGGGAGGGCAGACGTGCTGTCACCCAGGCATCCCCAGGGAGCAGAGCCCTGATGCAACAACCCGCTCCTCTCGCCCTTTCCCAACCCTTTCCCAGCAAGGACTGGAGCCGGCAGGGAACCAAGCCCCTGCTGCGGCCCTTCCTGCAGGGACAGCACCGTGTCCATGCAGGGGATGGGTGTCTCAGCACAGCCGCTCGGGCTCTCAAGCAACACTTTTGGGCTCGGCTCCTGCATCCCACCGCATTGCAACCACCGGGCTCATTGCACCCACTGCTCCCTGCAGCACCCTCCTCCCGCAGCAGGGTCCGTGGGAAGGCAGCCCTGGCAGAGAGCATCTTTCTGCTGCCTTCTCCGTGTCAGCAGTTCCTCCCTGCTCCTCCTTTGCTGCATGTCCCAACACTTCCCAGGGCTGCTCCCACCGCAGCCTGCCCACGGAGCTCTCTGCCACACGCATCGGAGCTGGGTGGACACAAGCAGGAGGAAACCATGGGAGAAGAGGATGAAGTGATCACATCCCACAGCGGATTCCTCCTTGGTCCCCCCAGGCATCGCTTCCTCTGAGGGTGGGAAACCGCTCTGATGCCTTATCAGCTGCTGCCGCTGCCTCATCCCTCCCCTCCAGCCTCTTCCGAGGGCAGAGGAAACCTCCCACAGACACTTCCCAAGGGAAAGCACCCGGCCCCTCGCTCCCGCATCCCCAGGGCAGCTCCGGGTGCATCCCAGGAAGCAGCTTGCGGGATGCCGCCAGCCGCGCACCACATAAGGCAGGGCCCGCGATCCCAGGAACGCTTCCAAGCCCTCATGTGCGACTTGCTTTGCCTTCAGCTGCCAAGGGGATGGATGGAGTTCCACTTTCTGCCCTGGAGATGCTTTTCCTTAAAGCTCTCAAACAGGGATGAGGCTTTTCCATGCAACAAAAAGGCTTTCCCCACGATTTCAGCCAACATCAGTGCCCTGGTGCTTCCTCCCATCAGCTCCTGCCTGCACCAGAGCACAGACAAAGAGCTCCAAAAGGAGACCCTCATGGAGGGAAGGAGCTGGCTCCAATCTCTACGACCGAGGCAGAAACAGTGGTGTTCCAAGCCCAGGGAACAGCCTATGGGATGCGGGCACAGCTCTGCCTGCAGGGCAGGAGAGCAGGGCTTCACCACCTACATGCAGGGCAGAACACCAGCTCCTTGAGAAGTGAAGCTCGGAGGTGCTGCTCGGCTGCTCTCCCCCACCTTGCTCTCAAAGCAATGTGCTGCTGGTCCCATCCGCAGGGCAGGGAATCTCCCTACTCCCCACATGGAGAGAGGGGCTGCATGGAGCCCCATCCCTTGGGACCAGGACCCCCATAGCCCCCCAGCCTGGCTGTTGGATGTGCTCAGCTCAGTGACCCCACATTGGGGGTTCCTGGCTCTGGAGGTGTCTGCTCCCATTCCAGCCTCACCGCCCATATCCTGGGTGCCAGGTCTGTCGTGGGTATGGCTGGGGCTGTGCAGCCCCCAGGTCCCCAGCTCTGCACCCCAGAGCCCAGCTCAATGTGGGGTGGGGGACACCGGGGGGGTCCTCGCACAGAAAGCCCCTGGCAGTAGTTCCAATGCTCTCTCCCACAGGACTTTGTGCATCCCCGAGTTCCTCCCTCCAGCACCCATCCTGCCCCATGCCGAGAGGAACTCTTGAAACAGGAGCAAAGAGAAGGAACAAAGACTCCTGCTCCAACAAAGAGCAGGAAAAACAACAAGAAGAGAGGGGGAAAGAGGAAGGAGCAGATGCTGCTTCTCAGGTAAAGGAGGCTGGAGAGGGTCAGGAGCATCATGGAGCAGTGCAGTGCCCTGGGATGGAGGGTGTGGGGGTTTGGGGGGGGGGGATCACCTGCCCACATCTTACCTGTGTGCACCTCTCCCTCCTCCTGCCTCCTATTAATCCCCAAGACAAGCTCCTCTCTGTCCGTCTCCCTCCTCCTCCTCCTCCTCCTCCTCTCGCCTCCGCGGCTCCGCCACGAGCGGTCCCGGGTCGGCCGCGGGTTTTGTTGCCGGGATGGGTGGGTGGGAGGCGGGAGCCGGAGGAGGGCCGGGGCCGGGGCCCGACGACAACAAACGCGTCTTTCTCTGGCACCAGGCGCCGCGCACACCCGCGGCCGGGCTGCGGCTCAACAGCCCCTTCTGCTGCGGAGGCTGCTCCAGGCCGTGTTTCAAAACAGAGCGGCTTAAATGAGGGTAATGAGCCCTTCCCACGGCCCCCGTTTGCCAGGAGCGCGGGGTTCGGGAGGGAGCTTGCCAGCAACAGGGATGGGATGGGATGGGATGGGATGGGATGGGATGGGATGGGATGGGATGGGATGGGATGGGGGCTTCTTATGTGGTCCCCAGGTCCCCACCGGCACAGGGACATCCCGCTGCCTCCCAACCCGTGCTGAAAGGAGCCCACCCCATGCTGGGTTTCTGCTCCTGCTGCGTGGATGAGATTTAAGGCAAATCCCAATGAGCTTCATAAGGAGCAGCGAGAGGAGCTGTGGTGGTGCTGGACCACGGGGTTTGCATGGGGCCTCAGGCAGGTCCTGGGCTGGAAAACCACCCTGCACAGAGGGGATGAGGCTGAGGGACCCCCAAGTGACTGCTCTGTGGATGCTCAAGGGGACATTTCAGCTCCGAGGAGCTCAGGGGCAGCCTGGGACCTGTTGCCTGCAGACACATCCCAGGGGCACAGAATGTCCCTCCTAGCAGCATCCCCGTCCTTACATGTGGGATTCAGGGGTTCATCTCCCTCCCCATGGAGCCATCCTGTCTCCAGCCAAGCTGATCTGCATTAGGGCCAGCAAACCTGAGCTGCTTTGGCTCATTGGAAGCCCAGTTCGAAGCCTGCCCAAGGAGGGTCCAATCCTGCACTTCCACACTTGGCTGAGAGCAGCAGGGTTCAAACAGCCCAAATCAGCCTCTCCCAAAGCTCCCACTCACTGAGCTCCCCCCAGCCCATCAGTATATCTGTTCCCAACAGCAGTGCCATTCCTCTTACCCCCAGACTGGGGTATTGAGTGCTGGTCCAAGGGCAGAGCCCTCACCCTGCAGAGATGCCTAAAGCCCAGCAGGTACCTTGGGTGCAAGCCAGGAAAAGGAACAGAGAGAAACCACATCGGTATTTCACATCGTTTAAACAAAGGGTCGGGATGGAGACATGTGTTTGCCAGCTGGAGGAGGATCAGAATCAATAGGGAGAGGAGATGCTGGGTGGAGATTGATGCCAGCTGCTTTCAAAGCTAGTCAGAATCCCCAGATCCATGGGGATGCTTCATGGCTTGGGGTTTCTTTCCTGCTACCCAACAGACACTCACTTTGGGCATTGACAGAGGGGAAACCGAGGCACAGAATGGGGCAATTGCTTGCACAAAAGCCACCCTGCGATGCCAGGCATGGGAAGGTTTCATTCCTTAGACCTTATCCACTGTGCTACCCAACCTGAGACGCTGCTAACACAGCTCCTGGGGCTGGGAAGCACTGGAACCATCAGCAAACCTGGTGGTGACACAGTTTGCTCCCAGCCAAAGGACTTGGTTTGTTGAATTTGCTTCCTGCAGGAATTTCTTTCCATGTCCAAGTTTTGAATCCACCTTCAAAGGCATCCTTTGAGACGCTGAAGGCACAAGAGGCTGCAGCCTCAAACGTGGCAATGGGCACCGGGAGCTCGGTTTATTCTGTGTCTGGAGCAAATCTGGCCCTGCTCTTGTATAGAAGAGGGTGATGGAGCGTGGCCACAGAGCAAACCTGCTCTCATAGCGTTGTTGGCATAGGGAGATCCCAGTCCCAGTGCCCCTGCAGCATCCCTGATGCTGTATCCCTTTGGTTTATCCCCTTTCCCAGCCACTGCCTGTTTGTCCTGCAGAGGATTGTAACAGAAATACCTCTTTGGTCTGGCGGAGGTAGGAGAGGAAATGTTTGAGCATGGAAGTACCAGGAGACGGAGCCAGGGCTGCAGGAACAGCTCGTCTCGACCAAGGGCAACACAAGGGAGAGCATCAGGCGGGTAAACAGGGAGGAATGCGGTCCCAAGGAGCCCAGAGGCTGCATCCCACCAGCCCATGGAGCACAGCGAGGGGTCAGCACCCAGCCCTGCCCCATTTGCTCCTGCAGGGAGCCCACAGCAGCATTGCAGACACCCCAGATGTGGAAACAAGAGGCAGCAAAGGGAGGATATGAGCAAAATAAACCCCATTATAACCAATGCCTCTGTTGTGTCCAGCTGGGAAATGGTAGATATGGGGAGCACTCTCACCCATCATCATCCATCCCTCCCAGGCACCACTCCATAGCACTCATACACGCACATCAGGCACACTTAAACCAGTCAGCCCTTTCCCCTAGCAGAAGCTCCCATCCTGAACCTCATCACATCCATTTCCAACACCTCAGGCTCCTGTAGCAGCTCCATTCCCTCCTGACCAGGGGCAACACCACAGCACACACCAAGAGCGCATGGTCCCAGCCCCAGGGGTCTCATAAGGAGGAGTTTTGCAGAGCAAATCAGCTCAGAGGCTCCCCAAACACAGGCAAGGGCTGCGCTCAGAGCAGGCTGCTCCCCACACCACAGCAACAGCAGCTTCACATGTTTATTTGGCCAGAGGGAGATGCTTGCTCTTTACGTTATCCCAGCATCGGCCACGCTGGCCCAAGCGGAGCCTCCTCTGTGCTCGGTGCTGTCCAAACACACTTGATTTATGGCACAGCAGCTTTGCTATTTCCTAAGGGCCAGATCTTGAAAGTCCCTTTGGAGAGCTCAAAAATTGCATTGCAGAAAGGAGGGGAGGGCAAAAAGCAGCAGGAAACCCAAGACATCCCTGCGGCCGCTCCGTCTGAGCGTGTATAACATCATTAGCAAAGCCTCATGAGCTGGCCATGCTCTCCATCAGCAACCACTGCTTCCATGGGAAGGGGATGAGGGGAGGCCATGGGTCCCCCAAAAACCAGTGGTTTGGGGTGGCCCCATTCCCACTGGGATGGCGGTGGGAGGATGCCGCGTGCCTTCTCCTGTTGTTTGGTGCTGGGTGACCACCAGCCTGGAAAGTTAAACTCAGCTTATCCCAAAGCGCTCTGGGAGCACGTCACCAGGAGCCTGGGAGAAACACTTGGCTCCAAGTAAAGCTCTGGAGTGGGAAGTGAGCGAAGGGGAAAAGTATGTTGCTTTGTAATGCACAGATCCTGCTCTCCCGCTGCTGGGATGCTGCACCATGTGCTTTGTCCCCCCCTCTGGCTGCACATGGGGCAAGGGCAGAACATGCTCCAGGCCTTTGTTTCCGTGGCCAGCAAACATCTGGAAACACCTTGGGAAGATGCTGCATGAGCATGGCTGGTGAGGGGACATGGGGAAGGTGCTTGAATGAAGCAACCCGAAGCCAAAGCACTCCAGAGAGATGAAGGTGAGCAGGTTCAAGCTCAGTGCTTGGCTGGGGAGGGCATTTGTGTCACTGCTGTCACCCCAGCACACAGCAAGGGGAGGGATGTAAGAGGAGGAGGCCTGCATCCCTTCCATAATCTTCCCTTCTCCCCAGGCATCAGCTGGCCTCTCCATCCATCCCTGAGCATCTCGCACTGCTTGAACCGGGGACCAGGATGTGCGGCTTCCCCAGCACAGATGGACAGAGGCAGGGCCAGGCTGGAAGGAGCAAGCTGCACTCGCTCCCGAGCCGGAAAAGGCAGCTGACCCCTGTCCTAGAGGGGAAACAACAACAACCGGAGCCTGTTTACAGCAGAGCCGCTGCTTTGGTCATTAAACCTATGGGCAAATGTCCCCTGGAGATGAGCCTCATGCAGCGGGTGCCCGAGCATCACAGCAGCCAGGGCAGGGTTGGGGAATGGAAAAGGCTGGGAGCTGCTCGCCCTCACTGGCTCCTGGTGCAGGCACAAACCCCAGCACCTCAGCTCCCCCCCCCACCAGCCATGAGCCCCTTGCTGCTCAATGCATGAAGAGCCAAGCAGTGCCATGGGCCTGAATCCCACCATGTCCCAGAGCCAGCCCTGTCATAGTCTGAGCTGAGGATGCAGGGAGGGGGGAAAGCAGGATCCGTATCCCCCATCATCCCAGGCAGAAGGGAGCTCTGTGCTTGCAGGGCTATGAGCCAGCTGCCCCTGTTCAGACAGCCCATAGTGCTTCCAGAGCCACGGCACAGGGGGGCTCACACACACACACCCCAGTCTGCAGCCTCTGCCCACCCTGATGGGACCCGCTCCATCATCCAAGGGAAGAAGCCACCCTGGAAGCAACGCTCTCCCCATAGGGAAGGAGTCTGCTCAAGGAAGGCTGAGACCAAACAGAACTCATCACACGGGTGGGCAAGAGGAGCCTTGGTCCCTACCGAGTGAAAAGCAAAGGGAAGGAAGGGCTTGAAGCTCTGCAACAGGGACCAGCTCAAAGGGGGGATCGTGGCACACAGGGACCCCACATCCCACATGGGGTAACAGCAGCACAGGCCCTTGTCCCCAGCAGTGGCCACCACTCCCCAACCCTCCCTGCATCCCTCAGCCCCTTCCTACCCCTCTTCCCATCCCCTGTGCTGTGCCTGTGGCTGCTTTAAGCGCAGGGAGGGGATGCAGCGTGCACCAAACCTCGCATTTCTCAGGGATGAAATCATCCGCCTCATTCCTCCGAGGCACAGAAGTCCAAAACCCCCTTTTTTTTTCCTCCCCCCTTGCAAAGCAGCCGCTTATGAGCTCTTGGCAGCGGGGCCGAGGCTGCTGAGCACATCAGCTCATGGCCGCATGAACCACACAGTGCTGCAGGAACCAGGGGCCCCTCCGTCCCCTGGGCTCCCCAGGCTTGTATTGCACCGTGGGGCTGTTCCCTAGGAAGCGATTCCTGGTGCCCTCCCTCCAGGAATGCCGCTGCCCAGCGGAGGTCAGGTCCCATCTGCTGAGCCAAAGCTGCCTCCACATCCCGCTGCCTCCTTTGCAGGAGGGGAAACTGAGGCACGCACTTAGGGAGCAGAGTTGGGAGCCAGGAACAGGATCCAGGGTCTGCCCCAGGCACACTGCTCCAGCTTGGAAAGCAAGGATGCCCTTTCGCTGCTCTGTATTAGCTCCAGCACTTTGACCTGTGACTGAACCAGGCCCTATCAGAGCCGGGTTCAGCAGAACATTACACTGGGAATGAAGCACTTTGGAGCAGAGTGAAGGAGGTTTCCCAGCTGGTTTCCTCCTCTCCCCA